TATTTTTATATTTCAGTGGGAAAACGTGAGTTGACCCAGATGATGGTATTAATGTAAACTTAGGGAAAATATGTCAAAATTGGCAAAACCGACAGAATGACTTAAGTCTGGAAAATATCATAAGTAGTTATAAATAATAAAGTCATTTCTTAGCTAAAAGCTTTGAAGTGAATATTAAAGTAATTAAATTATTCTGGGAATATGAAAGGAAAAACAGAATTAACATTTGTTTTAAACTTCTGATTGCTGTGTATGCATCACTTTCCTTGATGATTTAGCTTAATTCCTGAATCAAATGCATTCAGTTAATTTTTTTAATTCCTCAATTTTATGGTCTCAACCAACTTCAGTTTGGGAATTTGAATTAAATGCCTGAAACACATAGTCTAAATGTCTTAACATTGTTATTTCTCAATAAAGAATACAACCTAAACCTTAGCATCTACACATAAATTGCCTTCTTTATAAGATTATACCTATTTATATAAGTAGATTAAACATAGATGTAGTTACATTAAATTACATGTACAAAATAGCCTGAGATTTAGAAATTAGTTGCCACATAATACCAACCTGAAATGTTATCATTTACACACGTACATAAATCACAAAAATACACACAAACCTGTTACCTAAAAATAGATTAGCACATACTAGCATAAAACATCATTTTATATATACATATATAAAATGTATATATACATATACATATATATATATATATATGTATATATAAAATGTGCCTATTATACACCTTACATAACAGATTTTTAGAAAAAACTTTTATGAAATATATGTCTCCTTAAGTTGAATATAACCAATTAAACCTTATTATGGGGCTTTCCTTGTGGCTCAGCTGATAAAGAATCTGCCTGTGATGCGGGAGAGCTGGATTTGATCCCTGGGTTGGGAGGATCCCCTGGAGAAGGGAAAGGCTATCTACTACAGTATTCTGGCCTGGAGAATTACACAGACTGTATAATCCATGGGGTGGCAAAGAGTCAGACACCAGTGAGCAACTTTCCGGCCTGGAGAATTCCACGGACTGTATAATCCATGGGGTGGCAAAGAGTCAGACACCAGTGAGCAACTTTCCGGCCTGGAGAATTCCACGGACTGTATAATCCATGGGGTGGCAAAGAGTCAGACACCAGTGAGCAACTTTCACTTTCACAATATGAAATTAACTCAAAATAATTGGGATGAGAAAGAAGTCTAGTAAAATCATAGCTAATAGACACTGTGAAGAGCAAGAGTATTTGCATTCACAGAAGCAGTCAACTCGCAGAAACAGTGGCCATCAGGGAACATATACCTGGCCCTGGATGTGGCATAACCTACTGGCATGTTCAGCAGGTCACAAACCCTTACAGCCTCAGTTGCTAAAAATTTTAAATGAGGAAAATGAACGACCTGATCTCTTAAGAAAACTGAAATGTTATGAGTTTATGACTCTATGAAAAATAGAGAAACCTCAACTAGCAAGAAGTCAAAGATTTGTCTTTCATAAGACAAATACGTGGAGGATGCAATGTTTTATTTGCTTCCTATTTGTAAACATCAAATTTCAATTCAAATACTAAGAATATAAGGCAGTAAGTCATTGCTCATCACCTATGCTTTGTGCATCAAAACACTGAATATTTTTAGTGGAATCTTCATTTCATTCTAAATTTTCTCTCCAGTCTCCAACTCTCCAAGTTCCAGGCTTCTCTTTCTTCTGTTACCTACAAAAAGCTATGTTTAAATTAAAAAATGCTTACTGAATAGTGAACACTTGCAGGTAGGGCAACTCCTCACTTCCTGTAGAGGAAGGAAAAAGCAGAAAAAAAGTTGATTTTCTATTTGATCTATGGGTCAAAGAAACAGATTAAACATTGGAATGACATATTGCAAAATAACAGCAAAATTTAAATAGCAATTCAAATAAATAAGAATTATTTATTCCATTTCTTATTAGTTTGTCTTGGTCATTTCTAAACATCATCCTCCACAAATTTATCAACTTACCTGGAGACCCTGGGCCAGGAAATAGTTAAATGAGCAGGTGCCAAATTTATCCACTCAATTGCCTTGTTTTCCCCACCAAAACAAATGCTTTTAAAACCAACAGCTAACAAAAGGCCTATTTAGAACTACCAGTTTTGTTATTTTAAGACAAAATACTTTATTTCTAATGTAGTAGTAGCTCAATGAAAAGTGAACATTTCTCCATAATGAGTGATCGCCTGCGTGAAAATACTAAGTCTTTTAGGTTTTGAGGTTTATCAAGCTTGATTTTAGCATTTCTTGAATATATAGTGTGTTAGACAAAAGTTTGGTTCAGTTTTTTCCTATGCTTGTCTTTAACCTCATTCGAAACAATTTTGTAGGTTGTGACAGCTGTCTTATCAGCATGCATTTTACAAAAACTTATCAAAATTTGTGGATTTTTGTTTAGCCATTTTAATATCGAAGATGGAAGAAAACAAGCAACATTTCCTGCATATTACGCTTTATTATTTCAAGAAAAGTAAAAACGCAATTAAAATGCAAAACAAGATTTGTGTAGTGTATGGAGAAGGCGCTGTGACTGACTGTGTCAAAAGTGGTTAGCAAAGTTTCATGCTGGAGATTTCCTGATAGATGATGCTCCACGGTTGGGTAGACCAGTTGAAATTGATAGCGATCGAGACATCAATAGAAAACAATCAATGTTATACCATGCGAGAGATAACCAACACACTCAAAATATCCAAATCAAGCACTGATAATCAGGCAAAAACTGCTACAGTTCTGATTCATCCACCATATTCACCAGACATTGTGCCTTCAAATGTCAATTTATTTTGGTCTTTACAAAAATTTTTTTTTCATTATTTTATTTTTCATTTATTAGTTGGAGGCTAATTACTTTACAATATTGTAGTGATTTTTGCCATACATTGACATGAATCAGCCATGGATTTACATGTGTTCCCCATCCCGATCCCCACTCCCACCTCCCTCCCCAACCCATCCCATCCCTTTGGGTCTTCCCAGTGCACTAGCCCCGAGCACTTGTCTCATGCATCCAACCTGGGCTGGTGGTCTGTTTCACCCTTTATAGTATACTTGTTTCAATGCTGTTATCTCTGAACATCCCACCCTCGCCTTCTCCCACAGAGTCCCAAAGTCTGTTCTGCACATCTGTGTCTCTTTTTCTGTTTTGCATATTGGGTTATTGTTATCATCTTTTTAAATTCCATATACATGCATTAGTATACTGTATTGGTCTTTATCTTTCTGGCTTACTTCACTCTGTATAATGGGCTCCAGTTTCATCTATCTCATTAGAACTGACTCAAATGAATTTTTAATGGCTGAGTAATATTCCATAATGTATATGTACCATAGCTTCCTTATCCATTCGTCTGCTGATGTGCATCTAAGTTGCTTCCATGTCCTGGCAATTGTTAACAGTGCTGCAATGAACATTGGGGTGCACGTGTTTCTTTCAGATCTAGTTTCCTCGGTGTGTATGCCCAGGAGTGGGATTGTAATTTCCATTCCCTGAAGACTGCAAAAGGCACCTGCAACAGTTCTTTGCTCATGAAGATAAAAAATCTTTCTAAAGAAGATAGACCTGTGAAGTTGCCAGAAAAATGGCAGAAGGTGGTAGAACAAAACAGTGAATATGTTGTTTAATAAAGTTCTTGATGAAAATTTAAAATGTGTCTTATATTTTTACCTGAAAACCAAAGGAACTTCTTGGCCCACCCAACACTTTTGAATCTAATCTGATTCAAACCTTGAGACTGCTGCCAAAAACAGATCTAAGCTATGCCAATCTTTTCAGGCATTGTCTTGCGTATTGAGGGAAGCCCAAGTACAGAGGAGTCAGAGAAGACCCTGTAACTTTTGCAAGAAGCACTGCAGTGAGACTTGAGACAAGAGACAGATAAGGACTGGGGTGCATCAACAACCAATGATAACTTCTGGATCAGACCTGTTTTTGCCCTTGAGATGGAATTTAAAAATTAGCACTTTAGCATGAACCTGAGGAAATTTACCTGTTTAAGGACAAAGTAACTGCCAACACAAAAGAGCCAACACTGAAGAATCCAAAATAAATGAATGTGAACCTTAAATGATAACTCTTCTTCATTGAGGTTCAAATATGGGAAGGGGATTAAGAGGCACAAACTTCCAGTTAAAAAACAAGTCAGTCATGGGGGTGCGATGTACAGTATAGGGAATAGAATCAATAATATTTTAAGTGCTTTTATAATGACAAATGGTAGCTAGACTTACTGTGGTGATCACTGTCTTTGCAATGTATAAAAATATAAAATCCCTATGTGGTATACCTGAAACTAATAAATATGTATGTCAAATTATACTTCAATTAACAAGAAATAACAGGGATCTCGTTGGTGGTCCAGTGGCTAAGACTTTTTGCTTCTAGTGCAGTGGGCTTGGGTTTGATCCTTGGTCAAGGAACTAGATCCCCACATGCCGCAATTAAAGAGTTTGTATGCCACAACTGAAGATCTTGCATGCTGGAACTGAGACCCAGTGAAGCCAAAGAACAACTAAAGACCCCACGTGCCACAGCTGAGACCCAGCACAGCCAAACAAATATTTTTTAAAAAAAGAAAAAAAATAACTTGTGTTTGAAAAACCAGAATAAGTAAACCAATATATGAACCACCGAAAAGCCACAAAAATATTAAAAAAAATAGTATTAATAAGACCAAAGTGATAGAGGGAAAATAATGTAATTTAGGAAAAGTTTTTAGGCATCTGCAATTTCAAAAAAAATTGTGATTAAAAAAATCTTACAGTACTCAAAAAAGTATTTACAAAATACATCACTCCAGAAGCCGTTTGATTCACATGCCATCATCAGTGAAGCTAATCATGTAAAAAATCTGATAACTGATTTATGTATAATTCTGGCTAAACTATCCCAATGCACAAACTTCATTAAATTAGAACTAAATGCTTATGGGACTGTAAAATGTAAAAATGTTAAGACTGACACAATGACAAACACCTATTTATTGTACTAAATACAAGCCTGCAACGTTAAGTAGATATTACAGATTTCAAGAAAATTACATTTCAGATTCCCAAAATGTCTTGCTGGTGCTTTGACAACTGAAAAATTGTTTTAGAGGCTTTTTCCAAAATTCATAAAAAAGCAACACTTGGGGGATATAAAATACACAAAATCCAAAACTTAAAAGTTTATTCAAAATTCTTTTGAATCCCTAAGGTGGCTGTAAACAGTCTGCTTTACACGTTCATAGCTTAAAGGAATGTGACTATCACAGTTTATATGGATTTCTTACCCAGGAAGCCCACCAACTCTACACAGTAGTTTCGTGTTTCCACAACCCAGTCCTCACATTGCCAGTGCTATCCGTACCCAGCAAGGGTCCCTCCTGCCCACTGCTTTTGATTGGTCCGTTCTGAATAGCCAAGTTCAGGCCATAAGACTTTTGCTGACTTTCAAGTTCAACTGCAGTTGGCTTCCTTATCGCATCTTTTTTACTACTAGTTGAAACAGGCTTTTCAAAATTCCTGCTGCTTTTGGGGAGCGTGCTACAGGCATCACTGCTATCTTGCTGGGGGGGGTTGTACTGTCTCTCTCTGTAGGCTAAGTACGCCCTCCGACTCCGAGAGTGTCCTTCATTACTGCCCAGTCGACTTTTGGGCAGGCCGTTCTGCACACTGCCTTCCACGCTCGTGGGGACGTCGTAGGCGTATTCTCTGAGGACCGTGAGTCTGCTGGCCCGGTGCCCTTTGCTTCTGTTTTTATGATGGCGGCCTGGGTGCACATTCGTTCGAAGTGGAACCTCTAAAGGCGCCACGTGCATTTTAATATCATTGTCCACTGAATGCTCTGTCAGGCTGTTGTCGAGCTGAGGCGTGGCATTCAAAGGTAGGGAACTGGTGTGGCACTGGGCCGCGGCAGCCTGCAAGTTGGTCAGCTTGCAGCCCTGGGAGTTTTTGAAGCTCGAAGCGCTCCTGTTGGTGCATGAAGACTCTGCGCTGCTGTTGGCGCACTTGGGCGCCTCGCCGCTCGGCCCGCTGGAGCTGGGGGCCTGCACGTTGACCTGGACTGAGTAGGCGCTCCGTCCCGGGCAGCACGTCATGATCCACGCGAGCCGGACGTCCTCCCTGTTGACACAGTGGTGAACCACGATGAACGCGCTGAGGCTCAAACACGTGGCCCCGAAAAAGAAGCTAAAAACCAAGTCCAAAGGGTAATACAAAGAAACAGCCAAGGCCCCAGACATCCACAGGGCGACATACAAGAGCAAGGTGAGGCTGGCCCCCAGAAGCTGGGCGTGGAAAGTGTGTTCGTTCTCCAGGGCTGAAGTGGAAATCAGGGACAGAGACAGGGAGTCCTGATGATTGACGTCGCCGTTCTCATTGGCTGCCAGCCGCTGCTGCTCCTCGGCCGGCTCCTTCAGCTCATATCTGCGCTCAGGGTGTCTTTTCAACTGAATAAATATGCTGAGAAAGTACATGCAGTTTACAAAAGTGATGAAGCTGGCGGGCCCGTAGAAGGCTCCCAAGGAGGGTTCCCACGCCATCCAGCAACTAGGAAGGAAAACGGAGAACCAGCTCAGACGCTCCATGTGTCAAGAAACTGTTTAAGTTGCAGTAAGCTTTAGTGCCTGGGAAACAGTTCAAGGGGAAGCAGCCAACTCAGGTACAAAGAGAACACTGAATACTCACTAGGGTGCATTTGGCCGACTGCCGTAATTCTTGATGTTTGCTGCTGCAGTGATGCCACAAACTATGATGGGTATACCACCACCGATCAGGTAGAACCTAGTAGGGGCAACGATGGAAACAACAGCTCATCAATCTAATTTGTTTAGGTGTACACATTGTAGGATCTCATTTCTGCAGAAGCTATTCCTTAAAGATTAATCACTACAATAATTCAGGAGAGGTTAACATTTGCAGGCTCCTTTATTTAAAGTATTTATTTATTCTTGATTTCTTTAGTTTAAAAAAGCGGGAGATCTACCAAGTCTGAATTGAAGCAAAGCTGATCAGCTTCTGCCACCCTGTGGGCAGGCGAAGCAACACCCAGTTCCTGCAGGTAGGGCTTTAGTTTATACTTGTTTCTTTTAGATTCAGCCAGTGGAACAGAAAGTTAGGCCCCTGCAAAATGGACTTGAAGATCCCACTGTGCCACTGTTCTCACTAAAAATGTAACGATGTCGTTTATCCATTAATGTCCGGCTAGACCTGCATATTAATGCTTAGCAGGACCTGCTAGATCTTATGTCCTGCTGCTGTGTATGCTTATCCTCAGTCAGCTGAAATGGGGGTAAGGAAGGTACCTGGATCCCAGCTGCCCACAGCGCTTCGGCCCTTCCTCACCAACGCCCACAGACCAGCTGGGAGGAGCTGAGAGAGACAGTGCTGGCTGGTCCTCTGAAGAACAACTTTTGGGGCAGAGGGGAGCAGCTTCTCTGAGTTCTCTGAAAAGATCCTAGGGAACTTCCTGGCCTGGCGAGCTACCCCTGGGTACAGCCAGTCTTAACTCTGCATTTGCCAGGTTCAGAGACACAGTCCACATGCTGAATTGGTTGGATAAAGGCAATGTCCACAACGTATTTTTCCATATGTTTTTTTCTTAGTCATGCTTACGGGTACTAAAAATCTTCAATATGATATTACAGATAAAAAAGACAGCTAATTATTCCCATAAAATGATAGCCATGTCTTTTATTCCACAGATCAGAGGAAGGCCAACATTTGTGACCCTGCCCTTCTTCCTGTTGAACTAATTCATAGCTGCTTCTGACCTAACAAAGAAGCATCAGTTTACCCAAATTTGTCTCATGTTCCACAGCACTCTCTGCCACTCCTTTCCCACCTCCATTCCAGGACTGCCTGCTACCAACTAATCCTTATTTTAAAGCTTTAAATCTACTTCCCCACTGCTTCTTCCTTCCAGCATGTATGTATGTTCACGTTTTCTCCATCTTCTAAAACTTTCCTTCAACTACCCACTTCTTTCTTGCTCCCTTCGGTGACAAACACTGGAAACAATAGCACCAACATGTGCCTCCCCTTTATTGCGTGGTGACGCCGCTTCCAACCTACCGTGCTACGAAACTGCCCTCTCTGGGGCCAGCAGACTCAAGACAAGTCCCTGCCTATCCTCCACGCAGCCCGGATGCTGAGTTTCCTTAAGTTTCAGAGCCTGGGGAAGGAGGGCGGCCAACACGGTAAACCTGACCGTCTAAAGCAAAGGGCGTACCTGCCGGCCACTGGGGACTGCACAGGCTTTGGAGCTCAGGCTGCCTTTTACTAAAGCCTTTGTGTTTTTAATCACCTAACAGAAAGGAAACCCAACAGAAACGAACAGCTGCATGAGGATGGGGTTCCTGTCTCTTAGCCAAACACCATCCCCCTCAGGCCCTTTAACACCACTGACAGGGGTGTCAAATCGCATCCTAGACTCTCTGGCTATGGCTGAGCACTCCTGCTGTCCCTTGCTGCTCATGGAACCACTCTCCCCTCCATCTTCACTGTCCTCTTTGGTTCCTCCCTTCATCTCCTACGGCCCATCTACTCAACACTGATATGCCCAGGGATCACTCTTAACTGACTTCTCCCTGGGAGAGCTCATTCCTTATCACTGCTTCAGTGAACACATGTGAACACATCTCTTGTCCTGTCCACAGGGCACATGCTGTGTCCTCTCTGCTGAGCACCAGACTCCCAAAATGTAAACTTTCCTTGAGAAAGTATGGGTGAGCCCACCTCCCCTGTGCTTACCCTCCCTGGGTCCCCCCACCCACTTTTCCTCTGTGACTTTCTCAGTTGATGGATGCACCATCTGCAGAAGGACCCTAGCAAACTGGAGCATACAACCTGCAGCCACCTTCAAATTCCCGCACAGAGCTCCCAAATGCAGCTAGTCAATACTCCTAGAGAAACTGCCTCAAGTTTCCGAACACATGTCCTCTCTAACCTCCATGCCACCATGCTGGCTGCAGTCCTCATCTGTTGTTCAGTCACTCAGTCGTGTCTGACTCTTGGTGACCCCATGGACTGCAGCATGCCAGGCTCCCCTGTCCTTCACCATTTCCCAGAGCTTGCTCAAACTCATGTCCATCAAGTCGGTGATGCCATCCAACCATCTCGTCCTCTGTCATCCCCTTCTCCACTTGCCTTCAATCTTTCCGAGCATCAGGGTCTTTCTAATGAATCCATTCTTCACATCAGGTGGCCAAAGTATTGGGAGCTTCAGCTTCAGCATCAGTCCTTCCAATGAATGTTCACAACTGATTTCCTTTAGGATGGACTGGTTGGATCTTCTTGCAGTCAAAGGGATTCTCAAAAGTCTTCTCCAATACCACAGTTCAAAACATCAATTCTTTCTAACTCAGCCTTCTTTATGGTCTAACTCTCAGATCTGTACATGACTACTGGAAAAAACATAGCTTTGACTACACAGACCTTTGTTGGCAAAATCTCTGCTTTTTAATATGCTGTCTAAGTTTGACATAGCTTTTCGTCCAAGGAGCAAGCATCTTTAATTTCATGGCTGCAGTCACCAGCTGCAGTGATTTTGGAGCTCAAGAAAATAAAGTCTGACACTGTTTCCACTGTTTCCTGATCTATTTGCCATGAAGTGATGGGACTGGATGCCACGATCTTAGTTTTCTGAATGTTGAGGTTTACGCCAGCTTTTTCACTCTCCTTTTTCACCTTCATCAAGAGGCTCTTTAGTTCTTCTTCATTTTCTGCCATAAGGGTGGTGTCATCTGTATACCTGAGGTTATTGATATTTCTCCTGGCAAGCTTGATTCCAGCTTGTGCTTCATCCAGGCTGGCGTTTCGCATGATGTACTCTGCATATAAGTTAAATAAGCAGGGTGACAATATACAGCCTTGACGTGCTCCTTTCCCTATTTTGAAATGGGTGAAGACCCTAAGCAGTACTCATGGGGATCTCCTAATGACCTCAGAGGAGTTATTTGTAGACGCCTCCTGACTTCGGGCATTCTAATGTATAGCCCACAGTTTAACCTGGCCCTCTAAAGCCTGAAACTCAGCTTTTCCTCTGAATCATGCTATTCTAAACCGCAAGGCCCAGGTTCCAGCCACAGTCAAACCACACTTCTCAGATCTGTTCAGCTTGCCATGTGATCCTGAAATCTGAAGTGCCACCTCTGCCCTTTATGTGGTAGTCAGGCAATTCTTAAGAGCCCCCCACTGTCCCTGACCCCTCAGAATTCCAGTTCCTTTTTTGGCGCTTTCAGAGAATGCCCTTCCACTCCGGCTCTTACACAGCTGCAGTAGTGCTTCTCACACCTGTCTCCTCGCAAACTGTGAAGATCAGAGAATGCCCTTCCACTCCGGCTCTTACACAGCTGCAGTAGTGCTTCTCACACCTGTCTCCTCGCAAACTGTGACGATCTCAAAGACAGGTCTTCTACCCACTGACTTCTGCTCATCCGGAATAACAATTCACCGACAACTGATTTAAATTATGATATGAGGAACGGCACGACACCAAAACTGCTTTTTCTTTCATGGAGAATAACAACACTGACATGTACTTGAGAAGATTGAAATCTACTACATGACCTCAAGGAAATAAAAACAACTAATATTTTCAGAGTCTATTCCACAGCCAGTACCGTCCATCCGAAGTGCTTTACACATGACGTCACTTATGCCTCACAACAACTCTAAAGACAATCATTGTCACTTTCTAGATGAGACAGAAAGACAAGAGAGGACACAGACCTTCACAAAGAACTCCCAGCTGCAAGGCTGCTTACAAGTCTACTCTTTCTCGTTCCAAAGTTCACTCAGCAATTTTTTGTTATGACCATACTTCATTAAATTTAATATGTGTGGACATTTAACAGAAGATAGTACACGAAGATATCAGATACCTGAGCATTGGTCTTGGTGGAGGTGGCAGCTCATCAGGGTCCTGGCATCTTTTAGCTTTTTTAGTGACTTGTTTGTAGATGTTCCGAGCTGTCACTCCCACCCATAGTACTGTAGCAAGAGTGGAATAATGAAGAATTATTCCAACCTAGAAAGAAGATTGAAGAATACATGAACTAAAATGAAAAAAAAAAAAAAAAATTCCCCTTAACAATCAAAATACAATAACTGCCAGTAAGCTTCCTCAAAAAGACTGGTAAGTTACTTTGAATATATGGCTTGAAAACTGTATGAAGGTATATTCTAAGGATCCATCCCTTTGCCTGCTAATGAACAAAGAAAGCACTCTGACAGATGTATAATAGAGGACTGAATCTATAGTTGAATATAGGAGGCCCATGGACTACAACTTATAGCTAAGATGATACTAAACATACCATAGGATTCATTCCTGGACAACAGTAAACCAAATCCATGTTTCCCATAGATGCTATGTTATAAATTAGAGTTGAGTTCCTAAAGCCTGTTTTGAGGAGGAATGCAGACTCCAAGGTTAAGTGAAAGTGAAAGTTGCTCAGTCGTGTCCGACTCTTTGCGACCCCATGGACTATACATTCCACGGGATTCTCTAGGCCACAATACTGGAATGGGTAGCCTTTCCCTTCTCCCGGGGATCTTCCCAACCCAGGGATTGAACCCAGGTCTCCCGCACTGCAGGTGGATTCTTTACCAGCTGAGCCACAAGGGAAGCCCAAGAATACTGGAGTGGGCAGCCTATCCCTTCTCCAGCGGATCTTCCCGACCCAGGAATCAAATCGGGGTCTCCTGCATTGCAGGCAGATTCTTTACCAACTGAGCTATCAGGCGGACATCAAGGATAACTGGAGGGCAAAAGTCACAGCACACAGAGAATAAACTTTGGAGTCACAGACCTGAATAGTTCTCATCAGAGCTTTTATGTACCAAACTGGATGGCAAGTGAGCAGTGTAACAGATTGGTGATTATTTGAAACGAGTGAGCTCTGGAATTAACAATTTTGCCTGGTTTTAAAACCAGAATCTACCCCTTGTGACACCTTAGCAAACTCGCAGAATACCTCAAGCACTGTTCTCATTTGTAAACTGAGGATAATATTAAAGTACCATAAGGCTTTAAATAGGACACCCTATATGAAGCATTTGGTACTTAATCTGGTACATAATATGTGATTAAAAATACAGCAATATTTTTATTATTATTAGGATTATGGTTTTAAGAAAATAATGTCAACATCCTTTTTTTTTTTAAACATCAACATTCTTTTTTAACGTCAACATTCTTGAAATGAATGGTCCTCATTTGAACAGCAGAAAGACTATCCATAAGCATCCCTGGGGTTTTTGTAGGGACTGAAAGGGCACAATACCTGGGACATAATAAGTACTGGAAAGACGATGGAGAACTGCAATACAGGTAAATGATGACACTGAGTTCCCTCCCAGAGGGATGATGGGGGGCACGTTTACCTTGTGAACTGTGTCTGAAGCAACAGCAGTTAAAGATAAAATTCTAGATAAAGATAAATATGGGGTAAGAGGGGTTTAAAATCTACTTTAAGCAAAGTAAATGCATGGGTCACTGGAGCAGCAAGGACATAATTCAATTTTCTTATCTAATTCTATCATTTGATCCTTTCTTCTTACACAATGATTACAGGTAAAATTCTATTAATGAAAATTTCCAAGGGAAAAAAAACCTTTATTTAATTCAAAAAGGATAACTCTCCAATCTCAAGAAAATCAAATTGATTGACATCATCAATCCTAGGTCAGTAACAGAAGCATCTAGACTGCTGTCTAAGGTTCATGTTAATAAGGCATGAACCTCATTAAACTTGGGGACATGGAAGTACACAGATTATTTTGCAGGGCAAAAACTAGGATGGTCACTTGTCCAGGGAAGTCACTGTCCTCTCAATGACTGAAAGGGTTAGAGGGTAATCCAGCCTGGCCGAACCAGAGGGTCAGAGTATCTTCATCTTTAAAAAATTTTTTTAATTTAATTTTTATTTATTTATATTTTGGTAGTGCTGTGCAACACAGGGGATCTTAGTTTCCTAGTCAGTGATCGAGCCTATGCCCCTGCAATGGAAACATGGATTCTTAACCACTGGATCACCGGGCAAGTCCCCACAGTATCTTCTTCTTAAGCAGAAAACTTGCTCCGTGGTTCCTATTAGTTTTACTCACTGCACTATAAAAGCAAAGATTACAGGTGTAAGTGGAACAAAAAGCATAAAATAACTCTCTGAGCTACCTGGAGTCACATCAAATGTTGTAAATAAAAATAGTATAATTGGATTTGGTGCATAAAAACCAAAACATTCAAAACCAATCAATGATATTGACTCAAAATGGTATCCTCTACTGTTTCTACAGTTTTCTCTGATGTAGAGGTCAAAAGAATGAGACAAGGCTGTAAATAAGCTTCAAAACAGAAGTTAAAAATATTTTCAACACAGGAGGTGCAAGATGGAGAATTTTCTTGTTTTAGATCTAAGAGGTAAAACTCAACCTTTAGATTTTGAAGTGTTTCCTACGGCATTTCAAAATTTGCAGCAAAGTGTTCATACTTTAAAAATACTAAAGCCTTCCAGTTAAACAATTATTACCAATAGTGAAATTTTAGGGGTCTGACGGCACCTGGTAGTAGTCACACAAGCAAATCACCAAATGTTCCATAAGACGGAATAAAGGAGGCACTGAGATCTAGTCTAGCAGCAACAGTGTTCCTATCTTTTGGAAGGAGTTCCTCCCTATTTGGGGATTCCCAGGTGGCTCAGCAGTAAAGAATTCACCTGCCAATGCAAGAGATGCATGTTTGATCCCTAGGTTGGGAAGATCTCCTGGAGAAGGGAATGGCAACCCACTCCAGCATTCTTGGATGAAAAACCCCATGGACAGAGGAGCCAGGTAGGCTACAGTCCATGGGGTCACAAAGAGTTGGATGCAACTGAGCACACATACATGCTTCCTATTTTATTCGTGGGCTATACTTGAAATACAACCTCACTGTCACAATTTCTGCCACATAAATCAGATACATGTGGAAAATTTGTAAATAGTTTGGAAATAATCTAATTTATAGGGCGTATAAATGATTCATTAAATGCAACAGATTAGAACTTAAGAAAGTCACCTTACCTCAAGACATCAATTTTCAAAGCTGCAAAATGGATACAAAAAATTATCTTGAAGAGTTGGACTTTATATGTTACCTAACCATAAACATTCACATACCAGAGACCAGACATTTTAACAGACGGGTTTTTAACCACCAACAAAACCAACAACAGTGCAGCATACACAGCAAGTGTGCAAAAAAATCATCTTTAATACTCACAGTCTGATATGAATATATATAAAAATTAAGGGCATCCACTACTGAATGCCTGAAATGTACGCCAAAATGTATTAGACAATTTTGTACGTGCTCCTATTTTATCCTCTTAGGGTCACCATCTGCTTAGTGCTACAGACAAGGAGATGGAGGCTGGAAGAAGTTAAATCATCCTCCAGAGGTCACATGGTCAGTGGTGGGGCAGCAACTCAAACCCAAAGCCTGTGACTCTTCTATTACATCATCCTGGTCCTCAATAAGAAGAAGGCAGTGTTAAGGGTGGGGATTGGCAAGGAATATTCAAAGAGACTGTCATTTGAATCAGGGCTCTGCCACCCAAAGGCCCTAGACTTGGGGCAAGTTATTTCAATTCTCTAAGACTCAATTTCTGTACTAATAAAATACGAGTAAGAACTACCTCCTAGGGTTAATGTGAAAGTTAAGACAACACACTTGCAGTAGCTGGCAAGTACAAAGCTCTTAACATCCATGGATTGAATCTTTCCCTGTGTATCCTATGTGCCCCTGCAGCAGTCCTCTGGATAAAAGAGAGCAGAAGACACCTGAGAAGGTCAGCTGGCACAATAGTTAACAGATGAAATCATGGAGTGGTAGAGCAACACGGTATCCTAAATATCTGCAGCCAAATCCTTTCACTGCATAGCTAGGAAACCAAGGACCAGAAAACCATTGGTCACACAGTTAATCTGGCAGTACATCCTGACCCAGAACCCGGATCTCTTCCAAACCCTGTTGAGTCAACAGCCTCTTCTACGCTATCACTCAACTTCTCAGTTCCCCTTTGGCTCCTTTGGGAAAAGAAAGTTCAAGGCTACAGGATGCACCCATGGCACCACCCAGAAAGGATGACACAAGAACCAGAGTGGGAAGTGCCTGGCTGGTGGGGCCTTTAATAACCTCAGCCAATTACTTCAGGGAAGAAACTGCATTTAGAACCTATGCACACCATTCATAAAATACATGAGCTCTAAAAGGGAGATATGCCAAAGACGACACTGATCATGTGCACATATGAGATGCATGTAGAAGATGTACGCTTCAGGGTTCAGTTTTAGAGATGGAAGATAAGCCCACCCCATTATTTTGCAGAAGAAACATGAAGCCCCTACTAGGTTAAGGGGCTTTCCAGGTGTCTAAGTAGGTAAAGAATCTGCCTGAAATGCAGGAGACCCAGGTTTGATCTCTGGGTTGGGAAGATCCCCTGGAGAAGGAAATGGTAACCCATTCCAGCATTTTTGCCTGGGAAATCCCATGGACAGAGGAGACTTGCACGTACAGTCCATGGGGTCACAAACACCCAGACACAACTGAATGAACAAACCACCACCTCTACGTTTGCTCATGACGAACATGAGTTTGAGCAAGCTCTGGGAGTTGGTGATGGACAGGGAAGCCTGGCACGCTGCAGTCCATGGGTCGCAAAGAGTCGGACAGGACTGAGCAACTGAACTGAACTGAGGTTACGAGACGAGTCACATAGGCCATTCTGCCAGACACTGCTGGCAACTAAATGAATAAGGATTAGAAAAATAAAGTGAAGCAAGCCACCTCCGAGTCAGAAATAATAAGAATGATGCTATGTCTTTCACAGAGGAAGAACACTGTAAAAAAAAACAGAAGAAAACAACATACGAAAACATCTAGAAGCCTGCCCGCCCCACAGTTTTCTAGGTAATTCTTTACCTAATAGCCATTCATTCTTGAGACCCTGAAAACTCAGTGTACTTTCCTATCCTTTTCATTCTAGAAATGGTATAAAATACCATTCAGGATAATGAAAGGCAGTCATTTCTACCATGGCCTCTTTCTGTTCATTTCCTTAGTGAAATAAATTTGTGTGTCTACTTCCAGAAATCAATGAGTATTTTTACACAGAATTGAGACTATTACCACCATTGTGTGTTGAGTACACTAATAGTCTATGTTCAAAACAACTCCAGGGTTGAATGAGTTCTACTATTTGCAAACAGAGGCCTTTCTTGTTCATCTACCCAGTATCTGCTGAGCACCTATGACGGGTCAGGTCTTATACTGATTCTTGGATGAACTGTGGTGAATTGAATTGGTATAATCCCCATCCCTGTAGAGCTCTGAGTCCAGGGACAACAAATAGGTAAATGCCAGTCAATTACAAAGTTTTGCAGGCACTATGGAATGTTAATCAGCAGCAGAGGATAATGAGGGGAAGAGGTGGAGGGACTGCATCTCTAAAACAGTAAACTGAGACCTACAAAGTAACTGGCAGTCACCCAGGTGAAGAAGGCAGAAAACACTAAGAGAAGCACTATCTTTTGTACACGTATTAAGTTGATTTGGGATCCATCACCTAACTTCTCGTAGGCTTCAAATAAATTTGATTACAGATGTATCGTAATGGCCCTAATACAGGGGAATATTCTGCACAGCAAAGAGATAATTATACCAGTAACAGTCGTAGTAATAGCTTACATTTACTGAGCACTTACTGTATACCTGCTACTCTGGAGTCATTTAATTCTCTCAACAATTCTTATATATACACATGCATATTTGAAACTGCTTTACATGAAGAAAATATTGGATTCATCAACAGCCTTAGGTTAATGACACATTCTAATGACTGAGCCAAGCGTCCAAGCGTGGCCTGCCTTTATTTAGTTACTTAAATAGTTGTTATTAATAATAAGTGTCCACGAATCTATCAATAAGACAAAAGGTAAGATCTTGACAAAAGCCTGTATCAGCACATAAGAAGCGCTTCACCCAAGGTAATCATCACCATTTATCCTATGTTTATCATCCCTTTGCTTGCTTTCTTATACGGTTTTACCACACCTACGTATTTTCATTAAAAGTATGCTGTTTCATTTTAGTTATGTTTAACTTTATAAAGAAAGATACCAGGGTGAATGTAATTTATGGGCCTTAATTTTTTTCACTTATATTCCTGAGACTGACTCACACTGCTATGCCTTGTTGTAATTCATTAATTTTGACTCTTGCATAATATCACCATTTATTCATTCACTCTCTCAGTGATGGGCACTTGGGTGGATTCCAGGTTTCTGCTAGGGTGTAGAGTGCTGCTATGAATATTCACAGGCACTCACTCTAAGCCCTGGAGTGGGACTGTGTGAATGTTTACCTGTAGAAGGTAAAGCCTCCCACAGTCATCCGCTTATATTCCTACCCAGTATGTATAAAATATGTGGATCCACATGTTCTTCCATACTTGGCCCTGCTGGGCTTAATTTTTGCTGACAGAAAAGGCATAATATGGTAGCGATCTGAATTTGCATCTCTGGGACCACCAATGCCATGTACCCTGGCCCTCTGTCTATTCTGTTATGAAATGCCTGTCACTCTCACCACTTCTCCAACTGGGCTGTTTGTGGCAGTCTCACTGATTAGTTTTTAATGTATATATGTATTTTTTTCAATTCTAATGCTCTGTCAGTGGTTATGTATTGAGAATTTGTGCTGTGATGTGCTTAGTCACTCAGCCGTGTCTGACTCTTTGTGACCCCACGAACCATACAGTCCATGGAATTCTCCAGGCCAGAATACTGGAGTGGGTAGCCTTTCCCTTCTCCAGGGGATCCTCCCAACCCAGGGATCGAACCCAGGTCTCCCGCATTGCATGCAGAATCTTTACCATCTGAGCCACCAAGGAAGCCCATATGTACTGAGACTAGTGTCTTCTGATGTGGAACTTGTCTTTTCATTTTCCTTAGGAATCTTCATTTTTTTAAGAAAAAGATATTATTTCTGATGTGGAACTTGTCTTTTCATTTTCCTTAGGAATCTTCATTTTTTTAAGAAAAAGATATTATTTTTAATTTAGTCAAAAGTACATCCTTTCTTTTCTAGTCATATTTAAGAAATCCCTCCTTATCCCAAGGATTATGATATTTTCTAATATAAATTTTAACACTTTTGTTTGGACTTGTAATATTTAATCTACCCAAAGCTGACTTTTTTTAACATGGTATGAAGTACAGATCCACTTTAATCTTTTTTCCACATGGATTTTTCCCAGCTCCCTTAACTGGACAGTGGTCTGTCTTTACCTAGCCATGAGACACGTAACATCTGTCTCAAACCAAAGCTCTGCATGCGTCTGCTTCCAAGGCTGCTACTCCACTGTGTTGGTCAATTTATCTATCACTACTCTAATCCACAGTTTTAATTCCAACAGACTCAACAGTTTGGTGATAAGAAGACTTCCTAATCTACTATTTTTCAGAAGTGTCCTAACTATCATTGGTCCTTCTTTACTTTCATATAAATTTAAAGACCATTTTATTGAGTTTCATGAAAAATTCTCTTATCTACAGATTAATTTAGAAAGAACTGCTACCTCTCTGACTTTAACTTTTCCTATCCTTGGACCTAGTGTATTTTTCCATTTATTTAGGTGTTCCTTAATATACATTGAAATTTTACCTGCAAATCTTAAATATCTTTTATTATTTCTAAGTACTTAACATTTTTTGATACTACATAAATGTTACCTTCTCATTATGTTTTCTCTTGGTTACATTTCTGCATACTAGAAGCACATTTTTGTATATTAAACTACATTAAAAAAATACATACATAGGAAACTAAGTTCTTCTATTTTTCTAATAATTTATCTGTAAATTACTTTAGCTTTTCTAATGTAAATAGTCACATCATTTGACAACAACTCAACTATTATTCCCAACTTACAGGTGAGAAAATTGAGACACAGAAATATTAAATATTGACATCAGGATCATATTGTAGTCCTATGTTCACGGCAGTGTTACAACATTCAAGAGCTGGAAACAATCTAAATGTCTATTGATAGATGAATGGATAAAGAAAATGTGGTGTATACATACAATGACATATGTATTCAGTCTTAAAAAGCAAGAAATCCTGTCACATACTACAACATGAATGAACCTTGAGGATATTATGTTAAATGAAATAAGTTAATCATGGAAGGAAAAGTACTGCATGATTCCACTTATATAAGGTATTTATGAAGTCAAGCTCACAAAGACAGAAAGTAGATGGTGGGGCCAGGAGGTGAGGGGAAGGGATACAGGAGGTAGCGGTTTCATGGGTCTAGTTTCAGCCACATAAAATGTCAAGTTCGAAAGATCTGTATGTCCTTAAGAGTTAATCACCATACAACACACTTAGAAATTGGTTAAGAGGGTAGATCTCATTATCTGCAATTAAAAATAGTTAAACAAACTGCCCATAAAAACACTGGAAAAAGCAGAACTGACATCCAAATCCAGGTAGTCTGAACTCTGAATTTCTATGTGAGACTGTTTGCTTTGACACATATAGAAAATAATATGCAAATAAATACAATTTTATGTATTTCCTACTCGTATATTAAGAAGTTTTGCTTTTTTATACTTAAACTATAAGAATACTGTTTACTAATGCTACATATATAATCATTTACTTGAAATTAAGAGTTAAAGATTTTTAAATTCTTCATATTTACCACACCTAGGAAGTTTCTTGTTTTTATATCTTACAGTTAAAATTTTTATAATTCCTACTTCCATAAATAGATAAAATAATTTTTAAAATCCTGTCAGAAAATGTTACTTCTTTCAGCTATATCAGAATTTTATAAATTTTAAAAATTCAATGTTTGTCATTATTACAGATATAACAAGTAGCACAAAATTCCCAAAGATAAAAAGACAAGCTCCATAAGTCATATATCCAGTTGTGAAATAATAATTCAGAACTTGAAGTATACTGCTGAATTATTTAAGTAACATTCAGGTTAACTTTAATTAGCTAAAGAAAAAAAGCTTTAAAGAAACAATTTTCCCTTTACAGTTAATGAAACATATGAAATTACTTTTTAATACCAGTTTATTTTTTTTATTTTTTCACTTACTGCTTGGCAGACGCTGGCATTTCTAGTTTGACTTATTCCTCCCACAAAGACCACACAGGTCAGAAAAATATGAAAGCACAAATTCACAAGCATGTGCCAGCCTTTGAGACTGATTCTAATCAAACTGTTAAAAGAAAAGGGAAAAAATTAATACTCAGGTTAATATACTTGAAGCTGGACATCTCCAAGTTAACATACCTAACTCATACAAAGCCAAATGTAAATGTGTAAACATGTTATTAAAACATACTATCACACACACACACACACACACACACACACACACACACGGGTTTTAAGAAATCCCTCAACACAATACAGTTTCTTAACATTTAACTTTATACACTAAAAAAAAACAAGTTAAATGGAACTACTACATCCACTAAAGGCTACACAAATTCTCCATAATAAGAAATATGTCCACTTTTGTTAGTTATGTCTTATGACAGATGGATTACTTGTTTTGCTTCCCAGAAATTTCTGCAAGATGCCAATCTCTATTTTTCCTGACCTACTAAGATAACACGGTCTAAACAACCAATGCATTTCCTCGTGGCCTTTCATAATGAAATGCTCAAGTCTTTCTTTTTTATATCAAAATCTCCTTGTTTCCTAACTAAATGTCAAGAAATGTCATATATGTCCAGCTTAAAGAGGAAAATACATTCTAGCAAAACCTCTTGAAAGTGTATTTCTACTTAGCAAATCCTTTCAGTTCATTATATCTCACCATAAAATAAAAATTTCTGTACCTTTGCCTCTAATTAACAAAAACCATATCCCACACTTAAATGCCACAAGCTTTCTTAAATGCCATCTGTAAAAGAGACTATCACAACAGGAAAAAATTTATGAAATAGAAATAATACCAGTCTGGTTCTGGAAGACACCTCTGCAGGTAACCAGGCTCCACTTTACCTCAACCCATGCCCCACTCCCCAACACATACTTCCCACGTTCTTTGCCAGGTACAAACCCAGCAGGATGACTGAATGCTGTAGAAGATGAGTTTATTACCACGTGCACTGATTATTTATGTCTTGACTTGCATGAAGAAGGCCTGGGGGTATTCTGAAATAACTGTCCTTACTTTGGAAGGACAGCACGGTATAAAATTAGGATAAAATTTTATCCTAATTACATGTGGAATGATGTCCACAGGCCTCTGTAGTCAGTCTTCTTTCTTACCTGTGATGGTACATGTAACTGACGATGACCGCTAAGAGGCACAAGAGAAGAATAACAGCAGTAGTGTAGACCACGGGGTGCAGGAGCTGGGCCGCCTGGTTGTAGAGTTCGGACCCCGTCAGATCCTGAAGGGAAAAACGAAAGCATTATTCTAGGACTGCTTCTCTGGACAGAGTTGCTGGGATTTTCTCAGGGACTAAAATATACCGATTAAGAGAACTCTGCCCCTTGGATCTCCTCATTGTATCCAAGGGCTGTGTTTCACGCTATTTTCCTCACACATTACTATGCCCTCCCACTGTGTTAACTACTCATGTGGTATGTATATACACACACATGCACACACACTCTTCTTACCATGGGCCATCTGCTTTATAAATGTGAACACTGACTCTCCTTTGAGGGGAGTGGAGAGCGAAAGCAGTGATTTAGAAGGTCAACCAGAGACTTCAGTCTTTTTAATGCCCTCGGTTTCCCTGGTGGTTCAGATGGTAAAGAATGCAGGAGACCCAGGTTCGATTCCTCAGTCAGGAAGATCCCCTAGAGAAGGAAATGGCAACCCACTCCAGTATTCTGCCTGGAGAATCCCATGGACAGAGAAACCTGGTGGACTACAGTCCATGGGGTTGCAAAGAGTCAGAAGTGACTGAGCGACTAACACTTCACTTTCACCCAACGTATCACTCCGCACATTCACCAGCTAATAAGGTACAAGACAGTAGTATCTCCAAGTCAATAAAGCCTAACCTCCCGCAGTCAAGTTCAATAAATATGAATGGGCCAGACACTGTGGAAAGGACAGGGATGTGATGCTTACCCATGATTTATGCTCTAGAAGAGCTGAGAAATCAAAGAATCCTTAGACACACAATGAGATCACAACAAATGTTTGATCAACATAAGGGCAGGCCTGTGACTGAGAACTTAGAGATCAAATATCAGTAATAATAAATAATAATAACAGCAGATCACTCACAGAGCATTTATCATAAACCAGGCATCATGCCAGCACCCTACACAGAATAACCCTATAAACTAGGTATAGTTAGTCCCATTTTATAGCTTGAATAACTGAGGCACAAGGAGGGTAAGGGTTGGGAAGATCAGATCTGAAAGAGTTCGTGGCTGCCAAGGCTCTGCTCCCTAAAACAAAGCAGACAGTGACCTCCTAAAATGAAAACATCATTCACCTGAAGGCTTCCTTCCTGACAAAGGCCTGGGGCAGGCTTGGAAGATGTCTCTCCCTGGGCCCCAGACACCACGCCAGACACCCAGGGCATCAGGAGACAAAGCTGCAGGTTCACCAGGCCCTGTCACCAAATTCTCCTTCTAAACTGATTCTGAAAGTTACAAAATGACAGCTAGACGTGGGAAGCGGTTCACAGTGGGATGCACGTCTAGTCACAAAATTATTAAGATAATTCTTGAAACTAGAAACACCAAGATGATGAAGACAGGAGGGAATGGGTGACAGGCACACGAACACTGAGGATGGCTCACCAGGGAAGGAGCAGGGGAGGAAGCAGCACCTTTTCCTGGGAAGCATCAGTGGTCAACAGGGCGTAATTACACACCCAGAAAGATCCATCAGAACACCGTCACAAGTCCCTCACCGATAAAAAATGACTAACACAGGCCACAAATCCTGACAAAAGTCAGAGTTAATGAGAAACTGGAGTTACAACAGGGGAAACTCCACTCCAGCCCACAGTCAGAGGAGTCACAAGCCTGCACTTCATCTACGTATTTGATAAATGCCAACTGGGTGACCACCATGGCCAGGCACTATGCCAAGTACCGGGTATTCAGGGAAACACAGGATCCCTTGGGGGCTGACGGTCTATAAACTAAGACCTAAAAGGTAAAATACAAGACAGAAACCTACAGCCACCATTCTCAACAACCTGTCCTTGTAAGATGCCCATGGGACTAGTCTATGGAAAACAGTTTCAACGCATCAATACTTGCATTCTGCTAAAAATCCAGAATGTTAGAAGAGATATTCAAAGAAGACTGGGGCAATGAGAGCCAGTTAGACACTAGCTGGAGTAGACAGATTCTCCCTCGTTTCTATGAAAAGCTTCTATTCCCATGGAGACCAAATAATTGAGGACAAACTTTCAGTGCCTAGGATGTGGTCTCTTCACTCTTTCTATGCACTGCCTGTTTTCCAATCCTTCAGGAAATGTTCAAGAATACTTTGCCACCACTAGCTATATGATCTGGGGTAGTTACCCCACAGTAAAACGGAGACATCACAGTCATCCCATCTGGCAGGGTCTGGGGAAGGGGCAGAACCTGTGTATGCCTGCCTTCCACAGGCCTTTGCAGAGAATAGCAAAACACAGGTAGCTGGATATTATCCAGCAAAACATCAGACAAAGTACCAGTTCAGTTCTTACATCTTATACAATATTTATGGTTAAAAGCAGAGAAGGCAATGGCACCCCACTCCAGTACTCTTGCCTGGAAAATCCCATGGACAGAGGAGCCTGGTAGGCTGCAGTCCATGGAGTCGCTGTGAGTCGGACACGACTGAGTGGCTTCGCTTTCACTTTTCATTTTCATGCACTGGAGGAGGAAATGGCAACCCACTCCAGTGTTCTTGCCTGTAGAATCCTAGGGATGGGGGAGGAGCCTGGTGGGCTGCTGTCTACGGGGTCACACAGAGTCGGACACGACTGAAGTGACTTAGCAGCAGCAGCAGCCGCATGGTTAAAAGAACTCAGTTTTTTCAAAAGGCAATGAATGTGACATAGCATGAGCAGGAAGTTGGATGTTGACACAGAGTACCCAGACTGTTAAAACTCCAAAGTAGTCCTGGAGGAAGGAGCAAGTACTACTGACTGTTGCGGAGGGGCATTTTTGTTGTCACAACAAACAGACCTTTCCAAATGAAAGGGAATCCCTGGCAAGGTGTGAAGAGCCAGAGAGTAAAGAGCTCAGGCTTTGCAGGCCAAAAGCAAAACTGAGGCTATTATGCAGGTACTTATTAACCACTTAAAATATAACCATTAAAACTTGGAAACCACTTCTAGCTTTCCAGCATTTAGAATATCAAACAAACAAACGAGAGCTGACTGGAACAGGCCTGTGGATCAAATATTTGCCAGGGTTTGCAGACTCCCTGCCTGGTGTAAAGGAGCCAAATCAAGTTAATAAAAACTTGATCTTGTATCTTGAAGACAAAATATAAGAGAATTTAAGGCCGTATAAGACAACTGAGAAGATCAGGATAGGAAAGAAGTTAAGAGAAGTTAAAGACTAAAACAGAAGAGGTAAAGTAGAAATCTTAAGTCAAAATTATTTTCAATTATATCCATCAACAAACAGAGGCTTTGTGATACTGTAACAAAAGCAGAGATGAAAGGAGTCCACAAGTACAGGTTTCCAGATACAGAATAAATGAAGCCTTGCAGATGCAGCAAGGGACTACAGTTACTAATAATATAGAAGTCTGAAAGCTGCTCAAAGAGTAAAGTTAGTTTTTGCCATAAGAGAAAAAACTTGTAACTGTATACTGATGGATGTTAACTAAACTTATTGTGGCGATCATTTTGTAACATACACAAATACTGAATCATTACATTGTATACCTGAAACTAATAAGATGTTGTATGTCAATTATACCTCTACTGAAAAAAAATCTACCTGTTCAGAGAGACACATATCAAAAGGCTTCAATCTCTTTAATTTCACAGAAACCCATGATTCTTGCTTTCATTGTCTTTTTATAAATTAAATCACTTCCATTACAAAAAAATTACCAAACACATTGTCCATAAATGGCCACTAGGAGACACCCACGGAAGAAAAGTAAAAAGTCGCATTCACATTTGCAATATCGTGATACATAACATAGGAAAAGTCTGCCTCTGGTGCTTATTAAACCACAGTCCATCACTAAATGGTGATCTTATACATGGTGCAAAGTTTAAGAAAGGGCTTCCCAGGTGGCGCTAGCGGGCAAAGCAGAGACGTGTGTTCAATCCCTGGGTCAGGAAGATCCCCTGGAGGAGGGCATGGCAACCCACTCCAGTATTCTTGCCTGGAGACTCCCATGGACAGAGGAACCTGGTCGGCTACAGTGCATGGGGTTGCAGAGTCGGACACAAATGAAGTATTATTACTACTACTACTAAGTTTAAGACAACAGGCCAGGAAATGGAAAGTAAGGTTCACCAAAATAAACTGCACCAATTCAGAGAATATTATAACATGTAAAAGTGTGTTAAAAACTGCAAAAGTACTTATTATTAAGGAACCAAACAAATGGAAGAAGAGCTTTCGAAATTTTTATTTACCTGATAAAGATTCATACATTTACAATAGTTTTAGCCTGAGAATTACTAAATATAAAATCACTAGCAGTTTTAAATAATTCACTGGCATCATATCAATAATAATTATAAATTAATTATGGTTTAAACTCATCAGGATCTGAACAATGGAAGGAAGAAAAAGAAAAAAATCTCAGTTTCCCTCTGTCTGTCAGAGTATAAGTATTTTAAAAAGTTTGACAATAAAATAAAATTTTAGAATAGATTTAAAACAAAATGTGTCTTTAAAAAAATTGAGACCATGTCTATGTTTCTTTCAATTTTTCCCCTAAGAAACAAGGAATAATTTCAAGATTTTAATCCTCCTAACACACACCATACACAAAAGTCAGTTCCAACTGAATCACAGACCTAAATGTGAAAGATAAAACACATTTAAAGCTTCTTAATGCAAATAAAGGAAAATAACTTCATAATTTGGGGGTAAGCAAAGACTTCTTAAATAGGACGTAAAAACCACTAACTACTAAAAAGTTTTAGAAAAATTAGAAACTCTGCTTATAAAAAGACAACATTAAGAAAAAAAGGGAAAAGGCATGCCCATAGACTAAATGTTTGTGTCCCCCAGCTAAAATTCACATGTTGAAACCTAACCTCCAATGTGATATTATCTTGAGGTGGTGCCTCTAAGAGGTGATTAGGTCATAAGAGTGGAGCCCTTATAAACAGGATTAGTGTCCTTTTATAAAAGAGACACCTGAGAGTTCCCCTGCCCCCTCCACCACAAGAGGATACAGAGAAAGGACAGCATTTATGAAACAGGAAGCAGGCCTTCACTAGACAAA